CCATAAAAATAACATAATCATACAATAATAATATAAGTTGTTATGTCAATTTCCAAGTATGATCTTTTTTTAAAATTTAGTTTACTAAAGTATGCATGTTACCATTAAAAAATAAAAAAATGGTGCTCCTAAAAGAGAAACACCTTAGAAATATTTAACCACATTTCAACCAAGAAATAAATAGTACTAAACAAAATTAAAAATAAAATTCTCGAAATTATTATTATTCTAAGAGAACTTTAGTGGTCAACGATAAATCAATCACCTCATATAATATTACTATTTGATTATAGACTCAAATATTTTATGACACCATAGAAAATAAACATTACTCTAGCGAAATTGCATACACAATACGCCGTTCGATGTTGAACAACACAATACTTCAATACATTGATATATTACTTTATTACCTAACCTTTTAGCTTTAGTATAAGTATTAGTATTATTATAAATTGAAAGTAGTATTTGATATTGAGTTAAGAACAGTTTATATTGCGTAATGCGATTGCAGTTTTTATTAAATAGCAGAACTTTTTACTCTTCAATCATTTATAATATTTTTTTATTTTTAAATAAAAACTCTCAATTCGTTTTATTGATATCCTATGCCACTGTCATATTAAAACAATAGATATTCGATTTCACTTATATAATGTACTTTTTTGTAAAAAAATATTAAAATACTTAAACGGAATTTAATATTGTTAATATTCTACTTAAGCCAATAAATCATTTCCAAGGATATCTTATGTATGCAATTATTTCAAGTAAATAATGTTTTTAATAGTTTTTCAATTTCTACAAGTATCAATAAAAAGTATAAAACAGTTCCTTGATGAAATAATAGTTTGTGTTTAACTTTTTTTTTAATATTACGATCGAAACTCATTGTTTCTCAAGAAATTTAAAATCACCCGTTAATAAATATGATTTCAAAAGAAAAACACTAAAAACTTTATAATATCTAAAAAAACTTTTATTTCGATTTAAAGCAATGTTTATCGCTGTACAATGTAAAAATAATAATAATAAGTATTATCGAGTTACAATATCACAAAGAAAAAAATTTCGGCATATATATCCGTATGAAATATAAATAAATTTTACAAATTAAACAATGTTTTTTAAAATAACGAATTGACCAAAATGAATTTTACCAAATAAATTTTGGTGAAATACATAAATGCATTATCAGAATACGTCTAATAAAACTTTTGTTAATTAAATTATAGTTTTATTATTAATTTAACCATTATATATGTTAGAATAATAAAATATTGATCAAGTTAACTAATATTTTGTTAAATTAATAAAAAGAGGTTGAAATAATAAAAAAATATTACTATTTATTTAATAAAAAATTATTAGTTGTATATTGATGAAAAAAAATATTTAATTTTATCTAGGATTTTTTTCAATGTAGTTATAAATATGAGCAGTTTTTAATTTTCTAATACTTGAATGTTTATAACCATCGGCAAATTCACTCAAATAACTAAATGTAAAAATGAAAACATTCTATTTAAGGAATTAATATATAATGAATATTACATAACTATTATCTAGAAGCCAAGTTTCAAAACACTGTACTGGCCTCATCGGAGAATTTGAATGTCAAATAAAGGTAAACTTGAAAAATGCTAAAATATACTGAACAAATGTCATCGTCAAACATCTGGCACGGCAATTCTATTTAGCACAGTAAAAGATTATAACGAATTTGCATTCAGGCCGAACACTGTAGTGACTTTAAAATAAACGTTGAACAGAATAAGTTCCCGATTTGAAAATATGTAAATCAAAGGAAACGAAAATTGATAACGACTGATTATTTTAGCGATTCAGGACACAAACGTTGGAACTAAGGACGCAGAATTATGTCAGAAACACAATCATAAAAACTGTAGCTACGATATGAAAAAGAAATACACCGATTAAACAGTAAAAAGTAAGTTTTTTTTGTTCGTGTACAGTTATAAAATTCTAAACAATAGCATTTAGACGCAACGAGTGTAGGGATGGAAAAAGTTTCTTCGGTTTTGTACACGACCAAAAACTATTTTTACACCGTTTTCCGCGTGACTGAGCATTCAACAATAACACTCGTCTGGTATAAAAAGTATTTAAAAGTACAATTTCAGAAAAAAAGCATTATTGTTCTAACCGTTCTGGATATCATATTATTAAACTACTTCATGAGCTATATAAATAATATTAAATAAATTGAACTTTATTTTATTACATTGTACGAGTTTTAACGAATTCACAAAAAAAGTTGTATCTTATTAATTCCTCGAAAAGCAATTGAAAATAATATCATTTATGTTGCTAAAAAAATCATTTCGATAGTAACCGGAAAACTACAATTTTTATAAAAAAAATCATCATAGAGTATTGTTGTTTAATTAAATTAATTAAAAATAAAGTACCTAATAAACACTAAAAATATTAACGATGCCTGTGCAGAATAAAAATAAGATATAAATTAATTATGCACCATTAGTAATATGTATTTAAATACATAGTTAAAAACATTCTAATACGTGCATTTAATTATTAATAAAGGTAAATTTCGGCGAACAAAAATAGTAAGAACATTAAACAGAGAAACTTGTCATCGCAAATCGAATTAAATTATATTAGAAATTATATTTAGAAATGTATATATTTTCCTATTAATCATTTCAATTGTTTGCATGCTGATTGGCGTAAACTATATTTTTATCAATAATTTTTTTCCTAAAAACCTAAATGTAATTTATGGACACTTTAAATCGTCTGAATCTAAACATTCTTGGTAAAATGTCGCTTACTCCTATTAGCTTACAAACAGTTTTTTTGTTTAGTATAAAGAAAACACTAATCATTAAAATTTTTATATGATTCGATAGAATTAATAGTACAACTACATTTATTTTAAAAAGGTATAAAAATATATTATGGTGTTAACACAAATTATTGATGTAGATCTTTATATATATAACTCATTAGCTACGTTTAATTAATTCTATAACAGAATGTGTTTACATATGTTTAATGTAAATAAATATTTTTTTTAATTCATCTCAGTTTATGTTACTGATTGATGTAATCAAGGATAAACATACAGTATAGCTAAAAGAAGTTTGGGTCGAGGATTACTTCCCCTAAAACATTTTGGAAGTAGCTCACACAAATTTTATGAACACACATAAATCTAGAATAGTGACGTAGCCAGGATTTTTGCTTGGGGGGCTAAGAACCCACGTGAAAGATTATGTCACATATTATTTACTGCAGCCAAAGTCATATACAGTTAATAGTAATTGGCCAATAGGTGTTATAACCCTATTAGACCCCTTCGTACTCTATTTATAACCAATATTTAAAGTACACTTACACAAATTTGATCTATTATTTAAATTACAGACATTTTCAGACATAAGATAATTTATTTTTTCGAATTATCCTTTTTAGCGCGATAAGAGTTCTAAATACCTTAAGCTTTGGACTTAAGTAAATCTCTTTTTGGTTATCAGAATATTTGTGCGTGGAGATATTAGGTTAAGTGATGAGTAATAACAATAAAATAGACTTTGAAAAAGGTCTACAACGAACAAAGCGTAGTACGGTAGAAGAAGACAATAAGGTTAAAAAATTATGTGTGTAAAGTGCAGTTATTATTTGAATTTATTACTTTTTTTAACGACCAATAAGTTACATAAGCTAACTTGGTGCGTTATTATTTATACAAGATTATACAAGTATAATGTATGCATGTATAGTAAATTACAGTGGATAGTAAATGGACAAGTAATTTTTTGTCAAAATTGTAATGAAAAAATGGTGCAGATATGACATAATGCGTTTATACTAAAAAACTTAACCATTTTACCTACATATTTTTTTTTTTTTTATGAATTGTGGTATATGAAAAGTAAATATTTGGATTTATTTAGCTTATGTAGGGATACTACATAAGCTATTTGTGCATACTAACTCAACAAACCAAATATTATCAGGTTTGATGAATGTAATTCTTTCATTAAATAAGTATAATATACTTATTTATTATACTACAAATTTTAAGGTGGAATATTTCTAATTTTAAAAGCAAATCTTGGATCATTTAATTTTAACACCGAAGTTAACAAAATAATAATTGTTTTATTATTATATTCCACTATTTCTAGTTCAACCCAAAGACGGACTTATATTTAAATGCTTTATAACAGTGTTCATAATTAATAGTATTTAAATTGTAATTAAATAGTGATTTTCTAATAAATAAATTCGATGTTTTTAATTTGACTTTTTAAATGGAAATACCAGTGATATAATCAAATAAAAAATTAATTGGTCTTAAATCTCTAAACATTAATAAAAATTTTATGAGGAGAGAAGAATCGGAAGCTGTAAAAACAGAAATGAATGTTGAAGGAAGAAGAAGTAGAAGATCTCAAAAAAGAGATGGAGGGATGTAATTGAATGCGATATGAGGACAACTGATGTGAGCGTAGATGATGTGGGAGATCGTGTCAAGTGGAAGTTTAGGATAAGGATGGCCGACCCCAAGTAGTTGGGATTAAGGCGAGGAAGAAGAAGAAACATTAATAAAAGGAATAAATAGTAAAATATACTTCTTTAAAATTTATTCTGATAACTCTACTTGTTATAAATAATCTATTTTTAATTTTAATGAAATACATTTTAAAAACTAATATATTAATTGACCTTAATGCATATTAGAAATTTTAATTAACTTCAAGTTTCTGGTTAAAGTATTCAATAAAATTAAACATTATTTAAAAAAAGAAATTGTACAAATAGAAGTCTTTTTATAGGAAAAAATATGTAATTTATAATAATCTTATTAAACTTATAGGTAACAAGAGATGTACCCAAAAGTGGGTAACATAGTAATTTTATTCAAAGGAATAAATATGTCTGAAACACAATTTTTCAGCTTACCATAACATAATATTTTAGTTCTTATTTAAAAATGTTAAAGTTTCTACCTTTAATTGACTATACAATTTTTTCTTTTTATATCCTAAAGTTGATTCTTCTCTCCATAAAATCCACTAAAAAATATAATATTTAATAACGTTACACATAATTCAATAATTTTTAACATGTTCAAAAATAATTATTTTAGTTATTTATTTTATCAACATTACTATAGATTTCCTTAAATATTACACATTATGTTATGAATTATAATAATTTGTATTGTCATAATTTTTCATTTAGTATTCTAGATATCTGTTCTTATAAATGCATTTAGTTCTATATGGTATTTATATACAATAAATGTTTTTGTAACCNAATGCATTTAGTTCTATATGGTATTTATATACAATAAATGTTTTTGTAACCTTTATTTTTCTCAAAAATTATACATATTTATTAATTTTATTAATTTGAATAACAAAATTTTAGTAAAAACTCAAAGTTATCGCCATCAAATAATAATTACTGTTATTTTAGTAAATTTTAAAAATATTTTGACTTGTTCTAAAACACTATGATAAAAAATATCCCATTACAATACTGTTTATTAAAAGAAAATTTTTATACGAATATAGTCGTTGCCACGACATAAATGTAGCCACGTATACAAGAGGGAACCTTTCGAAAACTGAATGCCCCCCAATAATTAGAATTATTATAAAAAAAAAAAAATAATTCTCATTAAATTAATTAAAAATAGAGAAGAGCGTCCGAAATATTTCTTTTGTATCCACGTTTGACTAAAAATGTCATAAAGTATTATATTAGAGTCTAAATTTTGGAATAACTAAATTTATAGAAGTGTAATTATCGTTTGTAAATAAAATCTATTGCTTTGCATATTTCAAATATTAATGTTCTTCATATAAATAACACTAATTGAACAACCAATTTATAAATTATACATTTTATGATTATAATAAAATTACATCGTAAGTGTAATTCTATAACGGAAATACGTCAATTAAAATCATTATAGCACGTTAATGTAAAATCAAATACTCATAAATTACGCGAAAAATAATTTTTTTGACTATTATTATTATTTTTTTTTTTGATGTATATATAATAAACACTTAATCCGTTTTATGATAATTTTAACTTATTATCCGTCCAATTTCATCATTACTATTGTATACTGAGAGTAAAGATATACATTCATGTATTAATCATAATTATGCATTTGATAATACACGTTTAGCAAACACATGTTAGTTTATCAGTTCTCGAAATTCATTATTAAATCCAAGATGTCTATAAGTTCATGGTCAACGCTTAAACTTAAAATGTCATGATAATTAAATATAAGAAAAAATGTCTACTTTCGATAAGAAAGCACGTCATTAACTTTTAATCTTAATGAATGCATAAGTACTAAATATCTTTTATCAAATTGAAGTACTGTTTTATTTTTTAAGGAAAAATATTGTTATCAACTAATACTGTTCGTAAGAAAGTTCTATAGTGCGGGTAAAAGGGCTTAAGTTCAAAATTAATCATTTCATAGCTCATCATACTACAAAAAAAGAGTATTTATTTTAAAATATTATGATGTAATTAACCTCTTTTACGCAATTTTTGTAGTTAATTCCTTTTACTCGAACACCACAATATTAATAGTTCATCCAAAATACTTTATAAATGTTATATCACTATATACGTAAGTTTATACCTGATAATTTTTTATATTAAAAAATTGATATTTTTAATTTCACATTTACCAGTGTAAAAATATTGTATGAAATAATGTTTACCAGCTACTTTTTTATAGAAGAAAAAAATATAGTTATTTTATAATGTGTTTCGATTAACAATATAAAAGTTAAATGAAATATTGGCTATAGTAATTTATAAAATATCAAGCCGGCTTGTAATGTACAAAATACTCATAATAAAAATCATTTCTCTGTCGTTGTGTTGTAAAAACACGCAAGTGTTATGATAACTAACAATTGTAATAAGAGGATTTAAGGTTTATTTCAATTTGACGTGTACTCGTATAACTTTAATAACTATGAGCATGAAATAGAAACAATTTTGGATTTGAAAATTGAAATAAGGATCAGAAACCAAAGACACAGGGAAATAATGTTGTGCCATTTGAAATATTAAATAAAATTAAAGTTTAAGTGAAACTGCTTAATACATTGAAAATCACTCAATGCTTTTATCATCTATGTAAATATATGTATTATTTTATATTTTTTACTATAACTTTATGGAATTAATTTAGATTCACTACATTAGTATTCTCCTTTGCATACCTCAGATAAATTGTTTCAACATATTATTTTAGTTTGTTCAAATATTCTCGTACAAATAATATTTACCCTCATCAAATCATTTAAATGAATTTGAATATATTAAACTTCTAGAGAAGTGCAAGATAATAAAAATGATGAATTGCAAAACGCCAAACTTTAAAGTAATATATGTCCAATACATTTTACAAGTGATTTATAAACAAAAAAAATTATTTATGTAAAAACTTCAAACAATAAGCCAAATATCGATTAAGTAAATATTAGTTGAGCATAAACTACTTTTCACATTTGCACAGAAAGGTTTGCATTTTAATTAAAATATAAAATACAATAATAATTATTTTTACTATTATTAATGAGAAATTAAAACCACATAATATTTATTAAATATTCAAGGTCAATTTTTTAATATTTACAAAACAATATTCAATAACTTTAACTCCCCAAAAGTATTGGGATGAAAAAAAATACGCAAATTATAACTAGTATTATGCAAAATATGATAACATATTTATTATGTAAGTTAGTTAATTAAAATATTTTGATTAAACTAATTATACATGTCAAATTTTAAAATTTTATATTATATGTACATTATTATTAATTAATGTTTGTCATTATCTAGATAAATTTATCTAAAGAAGCATCAAGATTTTTTTTTTTATTTTTGTCTAAATGAAAAAATTGTGAGGCATCTAAGAGCTATCTAAGATGAATTTACAGACATCTTTTACGACTAATCTAGATTAATTTTTCAATCCGAGTTTTTTTGCCACATTACATATTATATGAATAAATTATATAAGATTAAATTAATATTAATTGAATACTCTCATTCAATATCTATTTTGTCGTATTATATAAAACAAAAATAGTTTTTATAAAATTATTAAATAATTCTTAAAAGCAAGAAATGATAATAAATAATAACTGTACACAATGGACGATATGCAGTTAAAATGTCGACAATGAGCGAAACATCAATCGAAAATCATTAAAAATAAAAACATAAGAGCAGATAAAATTATAAACGGTCAATGTAATATTCTCAATACTCCTTTTCTTTTGTTAGTCTTGTAACTGTCTTATAGATAAATGATAAATCCCTTATGCGTATTATAACTATTAATTACAAAAATTTATGTTTATAATAAAATTAAAATTTTAGTTTATCTGTTTTAGAAAAAATTAAAATTTGTGATATTACACATTGATAATAACTTATTTATCCCATTTTTCCAACTAAATTTCATAATTATCGGTACATTAACGGATGAAAATTTATAAATAGTATACACTTGGGACTATTTTTCAATTGTATAAATTGTTTAATATCAAATAAAAAAACATTTTTTTTTTATTAAAATTTTCTGAAATTCATGAAAAAAAAACCGATGCTAAAATAACAACATTTAATTAAAATCACTACTATTTTAATTATTTTTTACTCTAATATTTATTATTGTGATATGAAAATTAATTTTATTACAAAAATTTTAGAAGAGTGTAATGTTCATGTTTACATTATATTTCAACTAAATTTTTGAAAAAACAAAATGTATTCAGAAAAAAATTATCTTAATATATTTTAGTTATATTTTTTGAGATCTATCTTTTTCAGATAAAGATGAAAATTATTTAATTTATCTAAATTTAGATAAAAATGTATTTTATTTTATCAAGGTTAATATTTATCTAGGCACAACGCTGATTATTGTAGGTGTCTATTATTATGATTTATTTGAAGGGCTAAGTGCACCAACCAGATAAGACAATTTTTTTTAATTTTTCAGGAGAATCAATTATATCATAATATTTTCACTGGAAATATTGATAAATTCCATAAGTTTACACATCTCCTTTGCCTTTAAAAATCCGCACCATAATACTATTTCTTCATTCTTTTGGAATTTTCTTTACGCTCATCATACGATACTGCGAAATCTAAAATTCCTTCTCCAGCCTCATTCTTCTCATAAAAACCATACCCTCCATGTATTTTTTCGTATCCTCTCCTCTCATTTCCGACATGTCCATTCATATTTTCATCTATCACCGCATCCTCATTACTAGGTATTTGCATCACCTCATGTCTATTTTATCACATCCTACTGGTGGTGTATAGGCACTTACTACATTCAACACTTTTTTCTTGAAAATTAATTTTACAACTATAATTCTGTCACTTTTCCAAACTACTACTATTTTACTTTTCATCTCTTCGTCCATTATAATCTCTATACTATTCTTTGTAATGGTCTTATTTGATTATATTATTTTATACCCCTCACCTATTTCCCTCGATTTCTCTCCTTTCCACTTAGTTTCCTGCACACATAAATGTTAACTTTTCTCCTCTTCAATACTTCTACTAATTTTGTATTTTTACCAATTAATGTTCCAACATTCCAAGTATCTATTCTTACTTTGTATCTATTTTTCTCTCTCATTCACGAGTCCAGCCTAAAGTTGAGTGTTGAGGTCCCTATATCATCGACACTACAAGCGTTAGGTAGGCTTGTACATATGACTGGTGAAACAGCTGCCGCATAAATTGTCTGATTGGTATCAAACACTTTATTCTTTAGGCCTTCTCCGTCTCTAACTACTTTATTTCCTCTCATCTGATGTCCTCGCGTATATCCGAGCTGGGACAATCCATCTAAGTTCTGTTCAGGAATCCTCACACTTTTTAGCAAAATTTTACACCGACTGTCGATCTGACGCAACCTTATTAGTTGTCTCTTACACATGGCAGAGGGGAAAAAATAAGCAGAAAAATCATATTTATTCAAAATTAATAAATA